CGGGAATGGAATAACGAATGGGACACATACCGCCGTGGATGGGAGTGCGCCAGCATCACCATTATCATCTGATGGGAGTCTAGCACCCTCACCATTACCTTCGCGTATTCCATCGCCAGTCCCATCCAATACATCTGCGAACAGCGAGAATGAACCAGACGGCGGCGTCGTTGGGCGTGAGACCCGCAGACGGTTAGTTGAGTGGTGGAATAGAGAATACTGTGCAGGCAGAATGCGACTATGTGTTGTTGGGAAAGGTACGTCGTCATTTCTGTTGCGAGTGACTACTTTGTCACCTCGACTGCAGAGCCGCTCGACGCATTGGCTGACATGGTCTCGACTTTGTTTACGCCTATCAAGAACCGGGAGCAAGATCCACTACCCGTATTTGCTGACCATCCATTTGGCCCGAACGAAATGGGAGTAAGTTTATGTCTTATTGCTGGTAATATGATTTATTGACATAGAAACCCATTAGACCTTAGTTTCCGTTCAGACTGTCAAGGCCTTCCATGCTATTGAAATCTCATTTCCTCTAGTATGGCAGGCGCCGCTTTGGCGGTACAAGCCTGCACATTTTATTTCACACTTTGCTGGTCACGAAGGTCCTGGTTCGCTTTTTTCGTACATCAAAAACAAGGGGTGGGCGACATCGCTCAACTCGGGTCCTCAATCCCTCGCACGAGGCTTCGAAATGTTTAAATTCACCATTCATTTGACCAAGCTCGGTTTTGAGAACTACCAATTGGTGGCCCTTGCGACATACAAATACCTTTCCCTTTTGCGGTCCTCTGCATTCCCGAAGTGGTACCAATCGGAGCTTGTCAAAATTGCGCGCACGAAATTCCAATTTGCCACAAAGGAGAATGCGGAGGGCTATGCAGTTTCGCTTTCCGAGAGGCTGGGCAAGCCTGTCCCCCCTGAACTATTACTGCGCGGAGCGGTCATCCCATGTGAATGGAATTCTGAAGACGGAGAGCAAGAAGTTCGTGAAATCTTAGAAGATATGCGTATCACAAAGGGCAGGGCAGTGCTCATGGCGAAGAAAGAAGAACTAGAGCGCATTTCAAAGAATGAACATTGGGAGCACGAGAAATGGTATGGTACGGGGTACAGAGTAGAGCGATGGGACCCATCATTTATTGAACAGGCAAGTCAGGTTCCATTGCGGCATTCATCAGACTCGTTGACGGGCCGACTAGGCTGAGGGACCCAATGATATTGCGGAGCTGTACCTCCCAGGCCCGAACGAATTTATACCCACTAACTTAGAAGTAGAGAAACGTGACGTCCTCGAGGTATGCTATGGCCGCACATACCGATGTCCCGACTGTCTGACCGCGATTAATCACTTACAGCCTGCTAAACGTCCTCACCTTATCAAACAGACGCCAATGGGGTCCGTGTGGCACAAGAAAGATGACCAATTCTGGCTTCCAAAGGCGTCGCTCGTATTAGAACTTCGTAGGTATGCACTTTGGATCACCAGAATTCCGGGCTGTGGATTTATCATAAATGTAGTCCGGTTGCAGGCTCGTCTCCGCGCGCTGACACTATGACACGGTGAGCTGCTTTGCAACCCACCTGTTTGATCTGACGATAATTTTGATCCAGGCTTTTTGCTGACCTTGTAAATGATTCGCTACAAGAATTTGTATATGACGCAGAGCTCGCCGGACTTGTCTTCCACAATGGTTCACACCACCTTGGGCTGATGATCACACTAGATGGGTACAACGAAAAGTTGCCTGTCCTCGCTCGCCGTGTTTTGGAGACTGTGAGAAACCTACAAGTCCGCGAGGACAGATTAACAGTCATCAAAGAAAAGGTTATAGTCTCGTGTTATATTTCTCCAGCACAAGTGGGCTTACTATGGTCAACTAGGTTAAGCGCGACTGGGAAAATTTCTTCATGGACCAGGGTTACCGACTATCGGACTATTATACACAATACATGCTCACCCATAACACTTGGACTGTCGCAGAAAAACTGCAGGAGATCTCCAGTGAGCGATTATAATATCAATATTTTTGAAGATTGATTTAACATTCCAACTATGATAGACGTCACACATGACGAGTTGCAGAGACACATCAATGACTTCTTGGCGCGCCTGAACATTCAGATGTTGGTAACCGGCAATATGCACAAAGACGTACGCATTTTTTCTGGCTGGCAACCGGGTCGATTGCAATCAAACATGAGTTTAGGAAGCCATTGGTTTATCAGAGATGGTGGAGAACATGTTAAACACTTCTCCAGTATCGGCGGACGAGACCGCTCAACGCGAGCTCATCTTACCAGAAGGCATGTTCAGCCCATCATGCGGCGAGGGTGCGATTAATCTTTACTTTGACAGGTTCCGATTTTATCTGGAAGTCGCATATACCCAACTCCAACGATCCCAATTCCTCTCTGACTTATTATCTTCAACTTGGAAGTTCTACAGATGCCCATTTACGCACGACCAGCTTGCTCCTCATACACATGATGTCGGAGCCAGCTTTCGACATTCTTCGGACAAAGGAACAACTTGGTTATGTTGTCTTTTGCTCAGAATTGCAACTGTCTGGGGCATCGCTTCTGGGGCTGCGATTGGTGGTGCAAAGTCAACGGAACCCTGCATACCTAGAGCAGAGAGTGGAAGCATTCCTGGACGCTATGAAGAGTAAAATTGAAGATATGGAACCTGTTGATTTCGAGCAGTTTAAAACTGGCCTACGACAAAAGTGGACTGAAGTCATCAAGGACTTGAAGAAGGAGCGCGCGAAATTTTGGGAACACATCGATTCAGGGTACTTGGACTTCCTAAGACGTGTGTTTTATTCATTTTCGTTTCTTGCTGCTTGCAACTGATAAGGATCTAGGTTATAATGATTCGGACCTGCTAAGAGACATTACCAAGCGCGACGTCCTAGAACTCTTTCTCTCTCGTGTTCATCCCTTGGGAGTTAAAAGGTCTAAACTTTCCGTCCAATTACAGTCCCGAAAGCCGCAACCACCGCGAATCAGTGCCACCGCCGCCAAGGCCTTCGAAGCCCTGGTCAGAGCTGAAACCACACTCGTCGATCCTGCAGGGTGGAGAGAGGAAATGGCTGACGAGAATCCTTTTGCGACGCAGTTTGCAAAATACTGGCAAGACGTACTCAGCGGGTTCGACAATTATCAGGAGTTGATGAAGAAGATCCCCGGGTTGATGATGCAGTACCCAGTCGATGAAGAAGTACCCCATGTTCGGACCACAGGGGTGACTTTCGTTGAAAACGTTAAAGACTTCAAATCAACCCTTGAAGTTACAGAGCTTCCGCAACCCTTGGTGGAATGGGGAGACCTGCCCATAGCCAAGCTTTAGGTGTTATTGATGCTACTCTTTTACTTTGTTGTCATGTATCAATATGTATTTGCTGCTTCACATGATGATTCTAACACTGCAGGAGGTTTCTCGGATCATCTCGGATGTGAATGTCGCGTTTTTTTGCCACTGATATGTTTGGCACGGAATCTATCTGTTCTGTGACCTTGCACGTCGGGGAGGAGTCTACAATATTGGAATTTCCAGCAAGTTTCCCAAAACTTTCGGTAACTTATGTTTCCGAGAGATGACCCTCATGGGGCGTGAAGCGCGTGAAGGTGAATTCTTTTTCATGGACAGACTATCGCATCAAAAGGAGGTGACGGCGCAATGGCTAGGATGGACTTCCAAGAATCCATACACCGCAAAAATGTTAGCAGACTTTGACTCTGTTGTTAATCAGTTAGATGGAAACCATCCGACTCCATGAGTCAACGACTGTCAAGATGTGTTCTGATAGAAAAAACCTTGTGATGGGCAGGTTTCGAACCTACGCAATCCAATTTCTGTTATGGTAATAACCACTTGGCTCAGACCAGTTATAATTGACGGGACCTTTGACAAAACCATCCATGAGTGAATGTCACTTCCTAGGGACACAAAATATGCACAGAATATTATCGTTAATAATCGAGTTGGAGGCTATTGGAGGCTTGCGTGGGCGCCGTTACAAATCAAATATTCATCTGGCGCCCGTTCTGGGATCGGCGGCCTAAGTATGGCCTCGGGACAATTAGCCTACACGCTCGGACTCCACATCCTCCCTCCCTTGCCATTCCCTTGCATAGTAAGAAACGCAATCCGTTGTGAATTACGATGTTTGTTTGTGACCCTTCTCGTAGGGGAGAGGTTACCGGTGCGAGAACGTAGTGTCCTCTCGACTCTCGCCGAGCAGCACGGGAATGACTTTGTTGTGAGTCTCATTTACTAATATTTTCACGCATGCAGTAGACCAACTCAGTTGCAGAATTTATGTACTACTACTTATTTAGTAGATTCTAGAGCCTGTAGACGCATCGACTGGGTATACGACTTTTCTTCCAGTGACTGGCTTCAATGGCAACCTCGGCGCTACAAAGGTGCATTTTTACACATTATGAAACTGACTCATGCCTTGTCGGTGCCAAGTCTGTGTGATGGGAACAGTGTTGCCAGCATTCTCCGTTCTCTGTTATTCTCACTGAAATTGCGGCCTTATCGAGATTCTTCGATTTCTTTCGCCCGCAGCTGCAATAGTACGTGTGACAAAGCTGTCCGTCATTCACGACTGTGCGACTTGCGGAACTGCAGGGACGAGATGAATCTCTGTGTTGACGGCGGCCCTGCAGGGTCGTTCATCGTGAAGCCTTAAAGGCAAGTACAAATTTGCAGGTACTGCTCGCTCACCTAAACTGACGCCTGAACGCTCTTGAGCACCGAAGGTGTTCCCGATGATTTGTGGAACCCGTTCGCCCGGGCCAGGGTCACCTTCCAGGCTAATAACCCCGAAAACCATTCATTCACAATCTTTGAGCGCTTCCGACAAACAAAGTTTGCTGATTAGCATGTAAGGTTTGACATCTCGTGTGATGTTCTCTTAGATTCGCTGGAGTCTGTTGTGTCGAAATGATGGCAAATTACAAAGCTTTCCTGCCTCAATAGAAAGTGCGTTGTCCCAAGCCCGACGTCTCCTCGAGCATACTTCCAGTTCTGAACGAACTCGCAACGTCACCCAACTCAATCGACAGGACATCGGTTTGACTTTCGTCAACGCGGTCCACTGGGTATCCGCTGCCTCGCTTGCGTTTATGGGTGACCAGCATGTCTGATATCCACCCTTCCGTTGTGGGTCTTCGAGGTCAGCGGGATTAGTTGATTCATGTGCTGACAAGCAGCTTAACGCATATCAAGTATCAGTGACCATAGTTCATACGTGCACCATTGTCCTAACCTCTTGGCGACTCTGGTATAAAAAAACCCAGCAATGTTGGTGGTGGGAGGATGTATGGGCGGCTGTTGCGCTAGCAGCCACCATTACCAGTGAGGTCTCGGTCTGGATTTTTTCTGGAACACCGATGGGTATGTCAACTCAAACTTGTGATGCCCCATCCTTTATGACTATTCGTTACTATGTTCAGGCTCAAAGCCATGGGATGGCCCCATTATAGCGTCCTGGCTTCTCATGATTAATTTTACCATAGGTCTTTGGTGCGTTACTCACTTCCTTAGACAATGACTTATCCATCATTGTGAATGAAGGTCGTCTCGGTTGAGTATGATATGTTCGATTGTAAGATTATCATCGCCCACAAGAATACGAACCATCGCTCGTTGTGCGGCAGCAGCTTTCGGAGCAATTGCCATCGCTTTACTCGTCTATAAATGCTGGTTCTGTGCTCGCTATCACGACTGGGAAGAAATCGCTCCGCTCAGTTGCTCTCTGGCGTCTTCTGTAGCCATCACACAGGTCATCGGTAAGTAGGAGGAGATGCAATACATGCTGTAGTTGATTTGCTACTCTTCAGCGGATTTTTTGTCTGACATGACACTGGTGGTTTTACCTGCTCAAATCTTGCATCGGGTCAAGCTTCCACGGAACCAGAGGATATTGATTCTCTCGGTCTTCTCCGGCAGTCTCATAACCACGTTACTGAGCATCGTGCACGTTGTTTTTTTCATCCAGGCCGATCCTATCTTGAAAATTTTAACAGCGCAGCTCGAGGCAAGTCTTACTGTGCCACACAATCCTTTTTGAAGTACAACTGACTGACGGCCTAGATGGCTTTCTCTGTTATTGTCTGCAATCTTTTGCCTATAATCACATGTCTCTACAAAGTCTTTCGAAGCAAAGACCTGGACCTCAATCACAGGCGATACTCGGCAGGCAGCATGTTCCTCACTACTATTGTCGAAATGCCATCATCAGACAGCCATACAACCGAGGAATTGAAATTCATAGCTTAGAAGGATCTTGGTGTGCCTTGCACCGGTGGCAACGTGGTACTGCACCTTCGTACTTTCCATTTAAATGTTATTGTATTGTATCAATTCGTCAAGACGTGTATCTCCTCTTATTCCGTACTGTATACCTGACATAATTACCTTGGTTTACAACCAATTTACAACATACATTTTTTGTCACAACCTTAAGCGCAATAAGCGCTCTCCAGAGCATTCGAGTGGATGCGTATGTATTGTAATAAATAACCTCATTTAAACTGTGTCAAGAATCGTATGTTACGGTCACAAAGCTACCCATGAATTTGTGTATTCGGAGTTCGAGCACAGTGCGCCTACGCAAGTATTTTTGTTTTGTTGAACATAGGAGCATGTCATTCCATGACCTATCCGCAGGCTCAGCATAAAAATTAGCGCAGTGAGCGACAAACCTCCTACCAAAATCTGCGGATCCAGAAACGAAACCTCGAGTGAAAGATTCCTGAATAGTGATGCTGAGTACAATAACATCAGTCTAGTGACATGAATCAAAAGATTCCTGAAAGTCCTTGCAGCGTTCGAACATAAGTAGGATGTGGAATCCCATCATTCACGGGACTGCCGAGTTCAGGCGTTCAATGTAGTTTTGGGTCACCTTGGTTTCCCGCTTGTGAGTTGACTGATGATGGATTGCACAAGGTAATAGGGAGCTCTCAAAGTGCCGCATACCACAGCATAGGCATGTTCACAGCCTCATTGATAAACCTGAATATCGTGCTAAGTGAGACTACTTGATGGTTTGAGAGGAAGCACCGTAACGGACATAAGCCCAGAAACGCCACCACAGACAATGGATACAATGTATCGGAAACGCACTGGATAATACTGAAGAAACTGTAAAGAAAGCGATGCAAGACAAGCGAAAGGACGAAATGCCGGAGCCAAGTGGAACAGTATGCTACTTTTTCCTCGCATTGGCTTGTCTCGCAGCCGGGGCAGGTTGCGGCTGCGTGGGGAGTCCATAGTTCTTCGCACGACGGAAAAGGAGGACATGCGGCTCTGGGGCTGATTGCATCTCGTCAGAAAATGATATCATTGACTTCATTTAAGATTGCCACTTGCCATGCACTTCATAGTGCTCCCAGCCGAGGCTCTGAGTAATGCCGATCCCTCTCCACTCCGCTTCCGATAGTAGACGAAGGGTGCCTGCTTTGTCGTCAAAGAACTCTTTTGGAACAAGCTTGAGTAGTGGTTTCGGTAGGATGACGTGACGGTATTCGTATAGGTCGTCAGAATAGCGATCAGAATAGTGGATCCTGCATGTCAAAATTAGAGCGTATCGTAACGGAAGAAACATTGCGGCTAACTTTTCGATATATTCCTCAATCTTGCTGGCAATTTGGCGATCGGCCATTGAGAAAAAAATAGGGTATTACAGGGTATTGAACGGTGAAGAGTTCTAGAAACGCGTCTATGAGATAAGTACAGCGTTGGTCGAGACAAAGTATTGTGTGACAGACGTGACTAGATTTGATTTCTGTTCTCACGTGCAGGCGCGTCCGTGACATGTCACGCGTCGCTCTCTTCCATCAACAATATTGGCATCACTGTCGGCTTAATGCAACAACCTCAGAGTTGGTCTCTGATACACAAAACATCGGGGATGCTTCCTCTGCAGTATGCCCTTAACCCCCCTCAAATTGACAGTACTCATGCTGACGCCGTACTACACCACAGACACCAACACTATTACGATGATTTTGCCAGGTCTGAGGACTGAATTTGGTGAGTATATGCGCGCAAATATCCTTTGAGGATATTACATTTTCTTCCAGATTCTTCTCCATCTCTACCGGGACGCATCAACGACCGTGCTCGCACCTTTGCAAATCATGCACCAGCTAGTTATGCGTTTCACTCAGGTGCTGCACAACCTTACCGGGAAGACTATGGAAGCGTTACTCCCGAATACACCCCAAGCCCTGCAAATTATACTGGCGTGCAGGCCCAGATCCAGGCCCATCATGATGTTCCACAGAGAAATTGTCAGTCTTTTCATGTGTATCGTCGTCCTTCGTTATAATCAACATGAATGCCATCTTAGACCACCCGCATCAGTACTCTGGAGAAAACTACTTTAAAGACTCGAATAAAACTAAAGATAGTTTCGGGTCTAATTACGACACCGTGTATAATCACAGGCCTGATGGTCATACGCAACAGAAGTCCCAACCAGTGCGATTGCGCCCTGTTTCCGAACTTCGTTGGGTTATTTCCCGCCGTCTACTTTCTTAGTCTCTAATATTTGGTGGGATAGCGGATATTTTTCGCAGCATGTTCAAGTTTGGTGTTTTCAACGTTGTCCAGTCAATCTGTTTTGACGCAGTAAGATTTATTAAGCTTCATTCAGATTTCTTCAGATTTGATTGTTCTTAGGTACTCCACTCGAATGAGAATATGGTACGTCATTCTTATCACTTGAGATATATCTAAACAGGCATGCAGGTTATCAGCGGTAGGTGTGGTCATTCTTCTCGACATGCTTCGGGCTTAGTGAGCGTGTAGCGCCCACTGGAAGTGGCAAGACCGTTCTTTTTGAGTTGAGCATTATCCGCATGGTCACCGACCCTTCAGGCGCAAACCAAGCCGCTAAATGTGTCTATGTCGCTCCAACTAAGGTAAAGTTGTGTTACTCTTGCGTTAACCTGAAGCCGCTTGACAGGTCAATACAGGCCCTCTGTACGGAAAAATACAGGGAATGGACCACCAAATTTGGCAGTCTTGGGATACCCAGTATGTAATGTATTATAATTCAGATGTGACGCTCGTTCTAAGAGTTAGGTTGTGAGCTCACCGGTGACACCGTAGTCTTCGGCAAGGGCGTGTGGGGTGACGCTAAGAACGCTAGAATCATGTAAGTTCAGTCGTGGTAGTGTTTGATGAATTCTGATATGCAACTTTATCTACCAAAGTGTTACTACGGCACGTTCCCGGTCTGCTCATGTTTTGATAACACTACTTACGTTATCTCAGGCCGAGAAGTGGGACAGTCTCACTAGGAATTGGTAAAACATTTTTATTGTGACAATAGCATACGCTCACACTCATTTCAGGGATGACCACAGTCGTATATTATCTCAGATCAAACTTTTTCTTGTGGACGAGGTGAGTCTGCTGTTGATATCGTCCCGCTAGAAAATATTCGAGGGTTGGTCAGGTTCATATCCTCAACGAATCTCGCGGCAGCACCCTAGAAGTCGTTGTCTCTCGCATGAAGGCAAGAGGATCCAATGTTAGATTCCTTCTCGTTTCAGCAACAGTCCCGAACATCGAAGATGTTGCAAGCTGGATTGGGAGCAATCATGCGTCTAGCGATCATCCCGGTCAAATATTCCAGGTAATCGAGTCGAGGTTCGCTTGGTCCTATGCATAGCCTGCGCTAATTGGCAATACAGTTTGGCGACGAATATCGACCCTGTAGACTCACTCGGTTTGTTTATGGTGTGGTCAAGCCGAAAGGTCAGAATGACTTTGCATATGCGCATACTCTTGATACTCGCCTATTCGCCGTTTTACAACAACACGCCGTTGACAAACCAATCCTCGTATTCTGTCCGACAAGAAAAGGTGCGACATCGTCATTACTGGTCACAGTCACTCTACTACCACCAGGCATTCTGTAGGGACCATCACAACCGCCAGACAATTGGCTAAAGAATATGAAGAAACAATGAAGGCGAATCAGCTGCTCCCATGGAGCATGCCTTTGCAGTGCGTGATGAGACACTAAACAAGACAAGATATTTATAGATATTTAGAATGGACCAGACTTTTCATGACAAAGATCTCGCCCGTGAGCACTGCATGGTAGGAAATACTGTTACTGTACTCATTGCTTGCAGCTCTGGCTGCTTTGGGAATCGGCGTGCATCATGCTGGACTCACTATCGGCGACAGGAAGACCATCGAAGACCTGTATTTGCGTAAAGTACTACGAGTTCTTCTGGCTACGTCGGTGAATACTAGGATCTGTTTTCTCCTCTGTTGAATGTTGCTAATGCCCCGCAAAGACTTTAGCGGTCGGAGTCAACTTGCGTAAGGTGCCATCTATCGGTAGTCATCGGTGATACTGATCCAATGTTTTAGCCGCCCATCTGGTCGTCATAAAGGGTGTTAAATTATATCAAAATGGCGAATCCAAAGAGTACTCGGATCTCGACATTATGCAGATGATGGGACGAGCGGTGCGTGCAACACTCAGTCCACAACCTATTTATCAGCTTGTTCTGATGTCGTGATGATAGGGTCGCCCACAATTTGGTACCTATTTTTCCACTCTGCACTCTTTCTGTTGACATCTGTCGCCTTGCGTTCAGACACTGAAGGAGTTGCTATCATCTTATGTGAAACTGAACTCGAGAGAAAATATCGCGATCTTGTTCAAGGTACCACACCTTTGGAGAGTAGTCTGCACACGAATTTGGCCGAGCACCTAAACTCTGAGATTGGTTTGGGAACGATCACCGACGTCAAGACAGCACAGGAGTGGCTTTTCCGCTCGTTCCTGTATCGCCGAATGCAAAAGAATCCACAGCACTATAATATAGGAAAAGATGACCGCCAGTCTTGGCAGGACAAGATGGACAGCATTGTGATGGACAGCATCGAGCAGCTACGAGAAACCGGGTTGGTCACCTATTCGCCGCGCGATGGAGAGCTGAGTTCTACTGAATTCGGCGATATTATGAGCAAGGTGAAGTGTTGTTTTTTGCTCTGTGTCACATACAATCTGACACCCTATGAAGTTCTACATTCGTCGTGGGACGGTGAGACTTTCGCGCCATTTAACAGCATGTCCCTGATCATGAATAGATGAAGGCAATTTTGGACCTCTCTCCAACCGCATCTTTACGCGATATTGTGAGTTAATGGGCTTTCATCAGCGATGATATAATGGAAACATGGTGACAGCTTGAGATGATATCCGCTTCGGAAGAGTAAGTTTTAACAGCTAGTTCGACCTCACGGCACGAACTGCTTTATACAGATTGTCCGACCTCAAATTGCGAAGTGGTGAAAAGCAGGTAAGGAACGTGAAACAAATGTTATTGTTGAGGCCCACCATTTTCAGGTATATGAGAAAATTAGGCGCCATAATGACATTCGGTTCGCGGTCAAAAAAATTCAAGGCACCAGTGACAAAGTGTTCTTGCTTATGCAGGTAGCTGTTATGTTCACACTTGCCTGTGTTTCAAATGACGTGTTTGAAGGCGGTTTTAGGTGGTTTACCCTTGAATAATGCCGAATACAGGAGCGGAGAGAGTCAACTGTGTCTTGAAGCATTCTCAGTTTTTCGTCACGTTGGCCGGATTGCCCTAGGTAAAGTTTTATCTCTAAAGTTGCATTAATTCTTCAACCTGAGTACTCCAGCGGTTGCGGAAGTTGCCATCATAAAGAAGAACGGAGCGCAAGTGAAGCACGGGCTGGAATTGTACGTCTGCTATGACTGGAATTCTTAGATGGCTGAAAAGAATTGTCTAGAGTGCGTTGTCTTAATGCCAAGGCATGGGAAGATAGACCGATTGTCCTGAGACAACTAGAGTATATCGGCGAAAAATCGTCAGTGGATCACTTTGCCTTTCCATATACTCTGATCACATCGGTCCTGCAGAATCAAGGTAGAGATCTGAAATTACTCACCTTAAACGGGCTACAAGCAGAAGTATGAGTAGATATTGGCCGAGAATCACATCTCCTCAATTCCCAAGTTACTAAGTACCAGCCCATTAAGACTCGAAGAAGTGAGCTCTCGTGACTGCAATACTATAACAAGCTAACTTCCGGCTAGCTCCTGAACCGCAGGTCCCCCTTTGGGTCTGAGGTTTTGTTGGCTGCTAACGAGCTACCGAAATATTTCCTCACCTTGACAGAAGTGAAAGTTTCACCTAGCGATGGGAAATCTCCAGTAGATATCGAACTCTCCATTGAATGTGGCCTTCTCTTGGACAAGAGAGCTTCTGCGGGGTCCAAGAAACAGAAGAGGAACGGATTCGACATGACAACTCTTCTTACCGTTACTTCCGACTTCGTTTTTATCGACTTTCGCCGTATCTCGTGAGTTTTATATCATTAAGGGGAAGCGTCATTAAATTCAACGCCTTAGGACGAAGGTGCTGAGGGAAAGGAAATCCTTCGTAATAAACGCGCAGCTTACCAGACCAAGTCAGACCATCAACGTTTCGATCTCTTCAGTCAGTAGGGAGCACTCGCATCTCGGGCATTCGGCTGATTCATATAACTAGGACAATATCGCTGGGGTTACCGTAACTGAGAGCTTCAAGCCTTCCTTACCCACAAACCGGTACCCAACGCTTAATACTCGCCCATTGACTTCTTTGGTAAGCAAAATGCAGATCGCGTTACGTGGACTCACTTCTGCAAGGAAATGGATTTGGAAGGGCTTGAAGATGTTGCCGACTTTTGGGATATGGGACCTGATGACGACGACGAATTGAATTTCCCTGTAAAAGATCTCACTCGACCCCGTAGCCCGCTACAAAGCAGCACATCAACACAAAAGAATACCAACCCTTACAAAGAGAAGACAACGAAGGCTCCCCCACGCCCTACAGTGAAGGGAGATGGTTTGAGGATGGCCAATACGCTCGTGCGAGACGACACGCAGCCTAAAAAACGCCCAGACGGGAAATATAAGCAAGTCCTTTCTATTGTTATCAGGTTGCCTAATGTCAATATCAAATCACAGCTGTAATCATACCTGCAAAGATAAATCTGCTTGCCGTCACTTTTGGTGAGTTTCGACACAAGCGTCTGGATTTATTTTCTGCCTAGGATCATCCTGCAGTTTCCTGCTGACGAGGAGTGCGCGATAGTTGCCGTGACGGACTCACAGAACCTTCTCGTGTCCCAAGAAAGAACAACACAAAGCCCGTCCATTTGCTGAGTTCAAAGAAAACTCACGACTCTGTCGACCTGTCATCTACTGGATCCAAAAGTCGTGTCACCGCGCTGCATGGCGACGTCCCAACCCCCAAGCGACAAAAGACAAACAAAGGCGATCCAGTTCTTGAGCAGCGTGACTCGCCTCATACAGGTGCTGATGTCAATCGAAGGTTGGGGATCTCTGAAGGTCGACTGAAACAAGATCCCCCAGCGCCTTTGTCAAGAAAACGCAAACCAGCCCCAAATTTTGATATCGAGCTTGTCACCTTGAAGTGCTCGCAGTCATCGCCCTCCTCCAAGGAGATACTTAGCGACTCCCAATCAGATGACGACCTTGCGAATATTTCTGAGTTTCTGTGCGAAGGGAAGCATGTTCGTTTGAAGGACCACTCGAGCTCAGAGGTTGATGCGCCGGTTCGAGACGACGATTTTAACGACACCGTGATGGATGCTCTCTCCCTGACTCCTTCTCCCACTGGCAATCGGGCGTGTGACTCTCTATCTCCCGATAGCTTGCCCCCTCGGAAGCGTCCGAAGAGCAATAACGTGTCAGACGGATCTTACTCGCCAAGGCAGGAATTAACGAATGACAGCCGTCATCACAAACGCTTCAAATCCGGCCTCAAGCTCTTCGGCTCCCCCTCTGCTCTACCGACTGCAAAGGTAACGCGTCAAAAAAATGCTCTTCTCAACTGACCCTGATCATTCTAGGAGGGCGATGTTCCTGTTCAGTCCACAAATCGCCATTCGCTCTTTCTTGCAGGATCCTCCGATGTTGACGTCGATATCCAATCACCGTCCAAGATCCCCCAGCAACAGCTTTCTGATGACTTCTTTGATGAATCCTATTTTGACATCCTGCCGGAGCCTCGACAAGCAGTGGAACCTTCTCTTCGTGAGGATGGAGAGAAAACTCGGGCACACACTCGGACCACAGGAATCGCACATTCTGGCGCGAAACTTCAGGCTACATCGCAATGTTTCCAAAGGCTTCCTAGTACATCTCAGTCACAATTTGATGTACAAAGCAGTACTACCAACCAGCCTTGCCCTCCTCCAGTCTTCTACAAACGAACCTCAAACCCCACTGTCGAGAATCAGCAGACGAACCAAGGAATGAAAACCGACAACAACGAAGCTGATGTTGATGTCCTTGCTGAATTTGAGAGCTGGTTAGAGAGTGGCGCAGTTGACATTGTATAACAATGAGATGTTGTATGCAGTGGGTTGAAAGTTTGTAACATATAAGTACTTGTTGTAAGATTATTTGTATGGGGTCAATTGAGTGGATGACAATCAGCGATCAGCTCCTGGGCCATGCTTCAACCAACGTCGTTTGCTCGAGGCTCGTCGAAAACCTGCAGGGCGTCCGCAAATCGTTCATCCCATTGCCCAGGCTGACCGGGTTTTACAATATCCCAACCAGCCTCATCGCCACGCCATCTCATCTCCTTCTTCAATCGTTCCGCACGGAGCTCCACTTCTGTTGGCGGGGGATGACTATCCTCCTCCTTTGTAGGGGCTCGGGTACCTCGTGCTAATGCGCGTGCGGTCGCTAACTTTGCGGGCAGTGCGTCGTAGTACGTTTTACGCGCCTTTTCCGTTTCGGATGGTGTATAAGCACCATCGTAATAGGATTCGGCAGGAAGGTCGAAATCAAGGTCTCCTCCTTGACGTCCGCCCGCCTGCGAGTCTTGAACCTCTGAAGTACTAACAGTCGTGTTTGGTGCTGCGAACGGTCGCGTGTGACTCATTACCAGAGAGTAAGCTGCTTTAGAACCAGCGCGGACTTTATGCCGCTCATTGAAGAAACCCCATAACATATTAGGAACCTGTCTGAAGCCGATGTGATTGGTGAAGGGGACGAGAAGAAGCGTTGGCAGGGTTGGTATAGTCGATGGTGGTGTGTCCAAATATGCAGGAATGTTTGAAATAGATTGCATGGATTTTGATGGACTTGAAGAAGGCATCTGCAAGGGAGAGAATAATGCCGCGTTCTGCGAAGGTGGAAGGCGCGAACGGGTTGGTAAGGGCTCCCCATCTACTACCTCGGGATCTACAACAGATTCCTCTGGCTCATCAAATCGGCCATCCGACGCCAACTCCTGGGCGAGCACGTCTTCCCTGTCAGCGCGATCCATGCTCTCCGTCCAACCGCATTTGAGCCCCGACATAAACTCCTTCAATGTGTGCCGACCGACAAGGACGATGCCGCCCTCGAGTTCTCGCTTGCGTTTTTGCTCAAGAGTTGGCTGGTTAGGCAAAGGCATTGGACTCTGAAATGGAGGCTCGAGACCGGAATCAACACGTCGACGAGTCTTGATCTCGTCCGCAATGCGGTTGGCGAGGTCACCACTCCGGCGCCCCGAAACCATCTCATAGTCAACGGCAGCTGCTACAAGGATTGGCTACAGATAGACATGATGAGCGTACTTCAAAGTCAGATACATAGCGCGCACCTTGACGTACTTCCTGAAGAATTTCAAGCTCTTATCGTGGTCCTCGTCTCCGGGCCATTTCGCGCCATATACGGTGACCTTGCGTGGCAGGTCTGTAGTACCCAGTGGGTCCTTGGCAAGATGCTCAACACGTGAGGAATAATCGGCGCGGATACGTCTACACTCCCTGCGGTCATAAACATAGTATGCGACGATAGAGGTGGTCACCGAGAGGAATATAAGCCAGTTCCGGGACGGAAGTTTGGGACGCTTGTCCAACCAGGATGGTGGAATTCCAGTGTATTCCAAGGCTGCTCTTGCACCGGACTTGGGTACTTGGCTAGTTTTTTGGACCAGAGTCAACATTTTGTGAGCTCATGCCCTCGCGTTGCTGCTATATAGCTATGTGCTACTCTGTCACAAACCAAAAAATACTTGCTACACCCGCCGCCTCAAACAAAGGTAAACAAAAGTCTCATTGACAAATCTTGGAGTGTCCATAAGCAATTCAATTGAACGATTCTCTGCCATGGCTGCCCTCGCCGCGTAAGTCAGTTTATGCATAATAATTAATGGTGCTTATATTTCTATGCAGTGTACTTCCACCACCCGCGTATGCCCCAACTATTTCAGATGACGAGGAAGAAGTTCCCCAGCCTACTCCGTCTCAATCTGTGATCACTCGCACACCAATACCGCCATACGGCCAACGAGTGGGATGGAAACCGCTAAAATCTGAGGACTTCGGTACGTATACCCCATCCCATGATTATGAATCTCCTGATCTTTTATACAGGGGATGGTGGTTCATATCCCGAATGTCATGTTGCACAATATCCATTAGACCTCGGGCGGAAGAAGGCGAGTGTTCTGTCATGCTTCTGCACTAGTTTACTAAGTCGACACCTGCAGACTGCCGCAGGCAACACAATTTCTCTTCAAGTCGATAGCGAAGGGAATGTTCGTTATGATGCTATTGCTCACCAAGGCCAACGTTCTGGCAAATATATTCAGTCCCAATTCAAGGACCTCGTTCCTATCGCTCATCGGAAAGACCTCACGGATGACCAGCGGACCATGGAGCGCCCTTCTGAGGAGGAGGTTCAAGCTACTGCAGATAAAACTCGGGCCGCTCTTGAGCAACTTGTTTCTGGAAAGATCAAGGCTGCACAACCGAAGCATGTCCCGGATGCGCAGGGGAAGACGACATATATCCGATACACACCTGGCCAGCAGAACGGAGGGGATAATGGTGCGCTTAAACAGAGGATTATCAAAATGTCAGAGGTTGTGGAAGATCCAATGGAGCCGCCAAGGTTTAAGCATAAGAAGATTCCCAGGGGACCACCTAGTCCACCCCCTCCTGTTCTGCGGAGTCCACCAAGGAAGGCGACAGCGGCAGAGCAGAAGGAGTGGATGATCCCACCGTGTATATCCAATTGGAAGAACAACAAAGGTTTTACTATCCCACTCGACAAACGGTTGGCTGCAGATGGTCGGGGTCTTCAAGATGTTAGTAGTGCTATTTTTCTTGATTTCAGGCTAATGTTCTTGTTTTTTTGTTTCATTTTACAGGTTCACATCAACGATAATTTTGCCAAGTTCTCAGAAGCATTGTTTGTCGCAGACAGACATGCCCGTGAAGAAGTTCGGCAACGTGCACTTATGCAGCAAAAACTCGCACAAAAGGAGAAAGAATCCAAAGAGGAGAACCTCCGCATGCTTGCACAGCGCGCCCGGCAAGAGCGCAGTGGTGTCGCACCTTCTCGACCAACAGCGGAATCTCGAGCGGCAGTCACGTCAACTCTTGCTGGCTATGGTAGCGGCAGTGAATCTTCTGCATCAGACGCTGAACCAGAAGATTCAGAAGAACAGGAAGCTCGCAAGCTCCGCGACGAAATGCGTGCCGAGAAACGTCGTGAACGCGAACGTGAAATGCGGATGTCGAACATGGGCGCCGAGCAGCGCGCCAAGATGCTTGCACGGCAACAAAATCGTGATATATCAGAGAAAATCGCGCTCGGTCTTGCAAAGCCGACCATGTCGAAAGAAAGCATGCTGGACTCGAGGCTGTTCAACCAGGAGTCGCTTAGTGGTTCGTTTGCAGATGAAGACAACTACAATTTGTATGATCGGCCGCTGTTCCACGGCTCGACAGCGGCAGCGGCGATATACAAGGCCAGGGGTAATATTGCAGAGGGCAACGACGAGTCATTCGGTGGTGGGACCGAGGAGGGTATTGGCAAAGCTCTCGATAACTGACCGATTCGGACTTGGAAAGGCACGTGTTGGATTTGAGGGGGCAGAGGATCAAGAAGTCCGTGAGGGACCTGTACAATTTGAGAAGGATACAGGGGACGTCTTCGGTCTGGATAAATTCTTGGACGAGGCAAAATCTGGGAAAAAACGAGGTCTTGACACCGACGTGTGAGTGGGGCGCTAACTACTGTTGATGGTGTACTGACTTGTCTTATTCTTGGTCTCACTGTAGTGGTGGGTCGCGGAAACGGCAACAACTGGAAAAGGCGTCCGATTTCTAGGCATTTGTATTCTATCGCTGTTGTCGTCTTTATGCTATGTATCCTATTCGTGGTTTGCATTGATCGTGCATTTACTATTTTTTATCATGAACCCAAAATCTATTGTCTGATGTTGTTGACAAGGTGTTGTGACCTGTATTAATAGTAAATGATCTGTCGTGTGGTCGTAATGGGCAACCAGTGTCTACGTAGCGCCAGTCGCCCTTCTCTCTTCGCCATCTTCATCGTGGCAGGTCTCCCTCAAGGATTCCACCCACATTCCTTATAAAATTCAAGCTGTAATCGTTCAGCACTCCTGCCTTCAAAATATACTTAAAAGTGCATAATCCCCTTGTATCAATATGCACTCCGAATTCCGACGCATGCCTGCTGAGCGGGTGCGGCACGCAAAACGGCTGGGTCATGCCCAGCCTGTCAACGACCCATATGCGTCTCCTCTCGTATTTGCTAAAGACGCTACCACAAACTCTACTACTACCACAAGTCAGAGTGCTACCGCTAAAACCACCTCAGCGACATCCACCACACCTGTTGCAGTAACCTCGACAGCGAAGACTAGTTCTTCGCAGTCGTCTGCATCTCTTTCTGCCTCCTCACAGACGTTGACGTCTTCAGCTCCTTTGCAATCCACTCTCACTACACCTTCAAATACCTCGCCTACGAGCAGCCCTGCTGCCACAGAATTAACTACCAGTCGCTCACCAACTACGTCTCAAACTGTGGTTCTCGTTACTACTACTCCAAGCGCAACCGCTACAACTATTAACAATGTCAGTAGCGCGTCGAGCCAGACTCTCTCTGGCGGCGCACTTGGTGGTATTATCGCGGCCTCCGTAGTTGTCGCCCTGGCTCTGGTCATATTCATCGTTCGGAAGACGTATCTCCGCCGCAGGCAAAACCGTCGTCTCTCTTGGCCTGTTGACAACATCTTCAACGAGACCAAACCGCTTCCTGCAGCTCCCATTGATGATTTCTCTGAAAAGCCTGCTTCCCTGAGGAATTCACCAATGTCGCCTTTTGAGGGGCATGGACAATCACTATATCCGAGCCCCCCGCAGCCTCCAATCCAGAGGATTCAGAGTCCATTCACGGGGTATGCGGGCCCAGCCCCGCCTCCCGCTTCGTATAATAACCCCATGCCCATGTATTCCCAACCACCACCCTCTCTAAGTCCTGGAAATTCTGCCGTTCCCATGGCACGTGCAGCAGCAGGCGCCAACCCGTACTCTCCACCTGCCCCTGCTACAACGTCTGGACCCATGTTTCCAACTGCCTCCGAGGCAGTTGTCAACCGCGTGTTTATCCCCACGCTTCCTGACGAGCTCTCGGTCACAGCGGGCGAGCGTATTCATGTGCTTGCTCAGTATGATGATGCATGGGCTCTCTGCGTGAACGGGCACGGTGAACAAGGCATGGTTCCCCAGGAATGCCTAGACCGACCCGTCGCATCTAATCAGGCAGACTGGCGGAACGCTAGGCGTACCAGCAGTTTAGTTTCTGATGGCAGACACTATTGACTTTGATATTGTTTATGAGGTGGACCGCGGGCACGGGCCAGTGTATGTCTTTTATCAATTATCGTGATATCGTCCTGAATGATTTGACGCAGGTATCACCACATGTTTGACTTCTGTTTGTTTATTTATTTATCTAGACACCTCGCATCTCCTAGCGACAGCAACCACACTTTCCCACTACGTTTTGTCTCGTTCTTATGACTTGCACACATCTCGAATTATTCGGTACGGTGTTGGGGTGTGGAGGATTTGTCGTTGAGTTGGGCGGGAGGACTTGCTCATTGTATGAATTTGAATGAATGATTTGCAAGTTGATCACAATACCAGTAGGCACTGTGCGTCATCTCACCGGCTCAAGGGTCTCATAAAAATATAGGGATTTGTGTATTCAGTTTCCGAGTTTGAAGTACCTAGCGGTAACCGGCAACTTTTATCTACCTAGCACCCACTCGAGAAGACCAATATGATTGAGTATGATATGTGAAGTTTCGTGAACCAGTAGCAAAGGTCCAAGTTTCGTCTGCAGATTGCGCTCTAGTGTTTATGATGCCACTGTGCGAAATGTTCGGCGAAATATGACATCGTCCATCTTCGCTCCGACCCCTGCAACCGCTGGCATTGCGCTGGCAGTACCACAACCCGTGTTCTAGACTTGACTAGACTGGAACAGAAGCTTCATCTTATTAGATGGCTATCTCCTTGTGATGGTCGGTTTTCCGAATTAGACGTGGTCCAGGCTTCTCAATGACTCCAGTAGCGATCGTCTGTATTGAATATTGGAAAAATGAAGGCCGTCGATACCAGCATTCAAGACTCCATGCTTTGGTGCTCCGCTTGTTGGAATCCACAAACAATCCGCAAAGAGTATGTACGCACCCCAGTCCAGCACAAGGAATTATATCGTGAGTGTGTTGTATAGTTGTGCGAGAGATAACTTATTACATAGTCTTGACATAGTCCATGGGTATGAAAGAGAGTGCAGGGTATGATCGAAGCACGTCCTACTATTGCAATAACAATCTTGGATTGCTCGCATTCTTCGGGCGGTGGGGAATGCGCTGCGACGAAGCGGCGCTGAGCGCAGACGTTCGTCTAGCCAGCTGGGCTCTCCGGAGTTCTTCGTCGATTCGCCACATTCCCTTGACGAATGCTTCACGATCAAGAAGGCCAGTCGAGGATGGATCGCAGTCGTTCCTGTAGTGAGAATGAATGAGTGTGGGTTCGTCAAAAGGACTGCAAAGCATACCATATATCTCGCAGTTTACTGCGGTCAAGTTTTGAAGCGCTCCAGATGAGTCTCACTATTCGGCCACCTAGTCTCTCTTCAGGTCCAACTGGAACTAGTTCTGTGTTGTCGTCATCGATTTCTGCCTCCTTCAAGGGAGGTATAGGATGATCCTCCGGGTTGGTGATCAGGTCAACTGAAAGCCCTCTCCAGCCAGCAGCTTGCCTGCTCTTTTTTACTGATAATGCGGATGATGGTGGGGACTTCGGTTTGACTTTCTTGGCAGCTTTCCGTCGACTGATCACAGTCGTAACAAACAAGGCTTCGTAGCGTGCCCGTGCGGCAGGCGGAACTGGCGTGGGTCGCAGGAGTAACGAGGCTTTGTGCGTCGACTGCCCGCTGTGTCGGGTGCTTATGCTTGTGGTACTTATGCTTGTCAGGGAATTAGTGGTTGCGTTGCTTAGGATGGACGAGCGATCGGAGATAGATGCGGAGGTGGATGCGGGTGATGTGCGGGAAGAAGGAAGTTTGGTACGTGATTGAGAAGGTGGCGGTGGAGGTGGAGGTGGAGGTCGGGGTCGGTGAGTGGTGAGCACCATAGATGACGACGTTGACACTGATCTCGAAACAGAGGGCGACAAGAGCGATTTTGTACCTGGTCGCTGAGGTAGTTTTGGAGGCTCTGGCCTAGGCATGTCATTGCCATTGCTAATGGCCTTCCACCAATCAAAAGGGACGTTGGTGGTGGGACTTATCGCGGAAGTCACAGACACATTCTCAAATGAGTCAGCGATGCTCACGATGTCCCCGTCCACGCTGCCATCGTTATCGCCATTTGTCACAAGCGATGACTGCACGGACAGTCTTGGGCTTGTGGGTTTCGGGTCGTTTCCATCAGAAGAAAGTGATACGGAATGAAATGATGAAATGGAAGAAGCGGGCGCGTGGCTTACGCGAGCTGAGCCAAAAGCATGTGAACGGGGTGGAGGGTAAGTGTGCTCTACGGTGAGCGAATCTGAGCGCCCTGGGGGTCGTAGAGTAGCACTGCTGTCAGAGATAGCAGAATTGGAAATTGAAGGTGAAGAATTTGTTGATGTATATGAAGGTTTACGTGGTGGGAGGGGCGGGCGTGACTTTGGGGGCGATTCCAAGTTAATGAGTGGCGCTGAAGACATCGGTGCTGAACGAGCAGCAGAAGGTTTATGGGCAACCTGTGGGGGTGTTCTGCTGAGATCTGGAAAGCCTCTCAGATGTCTGCCATTGTGGTGGGAAACACCGGACGGTGCTTTGTTCGGACCATCATCTACAATCCAGTCTTTGAGGTCAATTAATGAGGTTCTACGACCCAGATTTGGAGGCGACGGTGACGGTGACCTGCTTAAAGACTTTGGCGGGGTAAATGGAGCAATTGGTTGGAATGAGTTTGAGGTAGGTGAGATAGGTGATTCCAGGAGGTTAGTACTAGATGAAGGAGGATATTTGGCCTTCAAAACGACAAACGAAGGTTTCGTCGTCGTTTGAGAAGGACGCTGGTCGGCGAGAGCCTCGAAAGCTTTGATCCTTGATTGCAGCGCAGCTGAAGGCATCTTATGGCTCTGCTCAGAGCGCTGCGCAATCCATAAACGTTATTTATTTATTCACTCGTTCTAAACCGAATTCGGCACTCTCCGGAGCTCGTATTTAAAACAGAAAAGGGGGTATTTCGACTTTGACAAATAACGCCCAATATGCCCAGTGATCTTTATGCCGTAGCAGGTTTGTGGTTTCAGTAACATCCATTACCTGAGAAACTCACCATCCACTCAGATTTCTGCCTCATCCCAATTGGAACAGGAGAATCTTCTGTACGTCCACTGGAAATAGGGGATCATTGTCCAAAGCAAACGCATTTTAGGTCGCAGAATATATTGCAGAGTGCCAGAGAGTCTTGGAAAAATCAGGGCTGACGTTCAAGGTGAGCACATGGACGAGTTGCCATGTCCAATCTAACCAATCTCGCTTTAGATGCAGTAAGATTATTTACTATTTATATGTCAAACTTCTGATAACGACACATGTTCAGTGGGTACGGCACTAATATTGGTTCGTTGTAAGAGGTGACCAACCCTTGGTCTTTTTGCTGAATATTCTTGCTAGAGGGACCTTGGAGCGAAGTGTCCCAAGCCATACATGATTGTCATGCTGCAGTCCATGCCAAAGGTGCCCCTCGAGTCGCCACAGACATCCGCATTGGTACACGCGTAGATCGAGACACTCCCGTGGGTGATGGCAACGATCATAAGGTGAAACGTGTAGAAGAGATCCTAGCGAGAGACAGAGCAGCTGCATCCTAAGTCTTCGCTGCTTTGTAAGGTCGGCCAGGTAATAGTGTACGATTTTCCTGCTTGCATGCTTTCGACAACATGCGACGTAATTTTATATTTAACACGACCACGAGTCCCAGACATATCGAACATGACCCTACAGCGCGGATGCCAAATAAAATACTCCTATTCCTATTCATAGCCATAGCAGGTACGTTACACCCTCTTATCGGCGAAAGATATCCTTGCAGCTGTAGCAATATATCTAGGAATATTGCAGTCTACATGGACTCAAAACGTAGACGCGAAATCGGCATTATAAAAGCGCGGGATAGAATTCATATGTGCGAGTATATACAAATGCACAAGATATAAGCATCAATGCGATAGAATAGAAATCATGAGATAACAGGAACATGTTTAGGGCCCTTCGCGGCATATATCTGCGCCAGCAACCCAAGCACCCCACCGTCCTCCAACTCCTCTTCGTCATTGATCCCTTCCTCCTGCGACTCGTACGGCTTCTTGCCCTGAGTGTTCCCATCAACGTACGAATCGCCCAGTCCACTGCCAACACCATCATCTAAATTCCTATCCTCATTCCGTATCGGCGGTGGCAGAGGCGCAATACTTCCCTGAGAGTCGCCTAGTATCGCGGTCTGCGCCATGCCCATAGTTGAATTCGAGCCAATGGCCGACTGCCATATAGTCGAAGAACCGATACCGCCTCCACCCGCGACGATGTTGCCCCCACCTAGCTGGAGTCTTCGCCGGAGGGCAGTATGTTGACTCTGCCGAAGAGCACGGTCGTATTCGTGAGCACGCTCCGTGGGGTCCTTGTTGCTATCATTCAGCAGAATGGTATTATCTAATGCAGTTCTTGAAGCAGAAAGTCTGCGCCGTGCGCTGAGGTCGGCGATGCGGCTGAGATACAGGGAACCAGAGGGATCTGATGGATTCCAGTCGGGGTTTGCTGCCTGAATGACAGGAATAGTTGTGAGAAATACGGACTCTTTCATATTACAGTCACAAACCTTGAAGTTCAAAAAACTCTTTTCCATCTTGCCCTCTCGAGACATCATGCGCTCGTCTTGGTTCTGCGCAGGAGCTCCAAACTATGCAAGTCAGCAGACGTAGACCACAACTTGAAACGATTGTCTCACCCTGACGTTGCCGTGCCTCTTGAAATCGAACTCGGCAAAGCTGCATATATACCCCCTCCCAGGTATCCAGACAGTAAAGTCATGGAAAAAGTCAACGATAGCGGGTGCACATGATGGCAATGAAAACCAGAGTATGAATGGTGTCGTCAAGACTGAGACGATCTCTTGTACGAAAATGGGTATCTTCATCGCAAACAGCTCTCCAAATTCCTGGTGAACCTGTTGCGATTCAATGTCAACAAGTGAATCCGACGATGGAAAGCTAGGACCGACCTTCTTGGAATGTAGCTCCCCTTTCCATTCATCTGGCATGTAATGCGTATATTGGATGACCTCCGTCATGAGCAGCTCAGGATCGAACACCCTGTTATCCTCTGGTATCGTCCCTCTCGCCACGGCAAGCACGGCCCCAAAGATACCGAGATAAAATAAGACAGTCCTATGCGGCGTGATCTCAAAGTGCAAGACCAAATCGGGATCGATGACGGATGCGAGCACGAGCACCGCTGCGAAGGACCCGGCAATAAAAGCCACGAAACTAAACAGGTGGTCAGTGCGGTCGATGAAAAGAGAAGCCATGAACGAACCGCATGACAATGGTCATTTTCTCGTTGGGAAATTGGCCAATGTACATGCTCGCTAGTGGATGTGACTCGTCTAACCGCCGCATGAAGAGATGCGAGAGCTCGTTGAACTCGCGAAACTTCCACTGCGCAAAGGGTGTGTAACGCCGACTACCGATTGATGACGGATTTTTGTGGTATTCCTGCAGAATGTTAGGCGACATCGTGAGTTATAGCAGGAGTGACGCACATCGAAATAACGGAAGAATGAATACATGATCATATAGAGGAAAATAAATGGTGCAAAGATAGCGTTCAAGATACCCATAAAAATGAGGCGTCGACGAAGCCTAAATCACACGAGCGTAAAATTCCTCGTGTTTAGCTGAGGAAAAGGCGTACCCTTCAATCAAGACAGCTCTGTTCTTTGTCTTCAAGAACACCTTCCTGACGCGTCCTTGCGGGTCAAACAGGTACTCCATCAAACAAAACCGCAAATTCCATTCCAACACCCTCGTTAACGTCCGCCCCTTGCCGTCATCACTTTGTCTCAACATTTGTTTAAGTTTGGGAGGAAGGGGCACGCGAAGATCAAGCAAGTCCTTATTAAACAGTGCGATGAGGTAGTTCTCTTGCCGCATGATACGATTCGCGATATCGTGCGCGTCGAGAGAAGCAGTTGCTGGCGTTGCAGCATTAGTGCCATGCGCTGAAGATATGGCTGTTATGGGGTTTTCTTCTCGTATTGCGCTTATCCTGCGCACGATTTCGGGCCAGGCAATGGTCGATATGTCAGCCTATATGCGTACCGTATGAGCACCAGGGTAAGACTGAAGACTGAAGTGTACGTACATCTGGGACGCGTAGGAGGTAGGTGTAGAATTTATACATGTTGACCAAGCGCATGACTTCGAAGACAAAAGATATAATTTGCCACACATAGAACGCAGCAAAAAGCAGAAAGAAGAGTAGCGTAAATCCAGAAAACCTATAACATGCACGTCAGTATGTCGCAACTGTAGCTGTCTTGGAAGCAAATGCGCACTTTGATACGCAGCGGTCGACCACCACGTCCGACAGCCGAGTAGTTTCATCTTCACGAATACGGCTGTAGTCGACACACCCAAGTAGGAATGTCGAGAACCCAATTACGAATCCTACTGTGCTACGCATCAACAGTCAGCAATCTAGTTCGGAATTCACAAACAAGCACTGACAGGAGATTGAGCCCTCTTGCCAACGCTATGGAATAAATCCCTTTGCCTTCATAGTACAGATACACCTCCTGCAGAAATGCGTCCAGATTATAGACGTTGACCCAGTTCCAGAGCGCACGTTCGTAGTCGTCCAACCCACGCATAGGCTTGGGTGATGCTTGTGGCCGTTGATGCGGTGGCGTCTGCGGAGGTTCGTCGACGTCTAGTTCTGACGGTCTAGGGGGTATTGAAAGCATAGGTAGAGTATCAATAGGAGGCACTGTTGCATGTGGAAGCGACCGTGCGGATGTGGAATAAAGTGGTTGTGAACGGCCTTTGCCCTTAGAGGGGCGGCCAGACGCCGAAGAATCCTCTATCATGAAGCGCTGAGGGACATCATCATCCGATTCCTGTTCGTACGTTTTGTCCTCCTTTCGTATGTTAGGCCGTAGCATGTTCATCTCGGAGCTTTGGCCGTCCCATGATACCCTGTGTTTTCCATGTGACTTGGTGCTCTTGGACATGATCCTTGTGGTCGCGTGGCCTGCTTCTAGATCTTCTTCGGTGGTTTCGTTCTCGTTTTCCTCAACAACGAACTGGCTGGCTTGAAAATAGCCTTGGTGTGTACGGCTCATTGGATTAATCATGTTGAGGAAGGGACGTGAACTGGACATCATGAGGCCTCCTGGTGGGTATATGGACTGCGAGCCATGCAGATTTGCTCTGGAAGACGTTGAGGGGCGAGTTGAGGGTGGAGACGACATTCGGAGGACCAATCACCTGTAAATTACGGCTTTTAGTCGTTCAGACTGAGTTCATGGACAGAATATGGCAGGATTGGCGTCGTCGGTGTTCGTACTGCCACTGCCAGACAGTCTGAGGACGCGTAACTTTGTCCTTTGTCACACAGACGCTCAGAAACTAGTGGCGTCACGGTGTGACTGTGTCCTCCTCCGCTCATAAACATAAACCTATGAAATTGCATGGAGTGACAAGTTATCCAAGTCTGATAATATACATCCAGGTGATACATTGTTATCTACGTAAATATCCTCTTCGCGCCCAACACCAGCTTATGCCTTTTTTGCAACTACACCCAGCTTGCTCGCCGCTCTCAACACAGCCCTGATACCAGATACAGTGATGTCGGTGTCGCTGCCCAACCCCCAAGCAGCTTCTTTTTTGACCCTTCCTGGCAGCTCATACAGAAGCTCCACAAAGGAAACAGCCTTCACATCTGAACCCTCTCCCACAGAGTGCTCCGAATACTCCCGGCAGACAAGAGTACCCTCAACTTGTGAGTGCAACGCAGCGAGGGCTGCGGATAAAGGACCGTTGCCCTCGCCAATCACCTTGCACACCACGCCATCAATCTCCATATCACCCTTGAACCGGGGGCCGCCACCTTCGACGCGCTCGAAACAGAAGTCACCTAGATAAAACCTGCCCTTGTTTTCGACCTCGTAGCCATATGTCTCCCGGAAGAGACGGGTAAGGTCTTCATATGAGATTTTTCCATCTGACTCGCGCACGGCGCGCTGCACGACTTCGAAGAAGGAAGTCTGCAACCTGCGAGGGAGCGTCAAGCCCAGAGTATTGACGATAGCGTCCGAAACGTCCGATTGGCCAGAGGTGGCATTGAAGCCGACACTGAGCTTCAGCTCAGGCAATACACGATCGCCAATGGCAGCGTTCACTGCACTCAACACGGCATGCAAACTGGAAGCGGCAATATCAGAGTCGAGTCCAACACCCCACCATGACTCAGATGCTTGGCGAGTTTCCTTGACGTCGTCGGTGGTAGCAACGAGTTCTATGTATGAAGCTGCCTTGGAGGTTTCTCCCTCGCCAACTGCGTGTTCCGTATATCCGCGGAGGGTCATGTCGATCTCCAAATGAGTGCGCAGAGCATCGAGAAGAGCAGAGATGGGACCATTGCCATCTCCACGAATGACACGCAACACGCCATCCACCAACATAGTACCATCAAAGCGACGACGCTCGTCGAAAGGTTCACCGTCGTGAGTGGGATCAGGTGATGGCTCAGCTGTAATACGGAATGACTTGAGCGCCAGTCTACCTTCATACTTCGATCCACCGAAGTGGTAAGTCTCGCGGAACGCCGTGGTGAGGTCTTCGACGGTGATTTCGCGTGCCTCGCGGTCGGATATTTGCTGAATGACCTTGTAGAATGCGACCTGCATATTGCGCGGAAGGTCGAGTTGCAGATGTTGCTTGACAAGGTACGCGACGCCTCCCTT